GGGCAGTTCAAACCGTAGGAGGGAGACGCGGCCGCCCTACGCGAAAGTAGCGTGGGGGTTGCCATAGCCCGCATCCCTGGGGGTGAGGCGGTGGCTCCTCCCCGGCACGCCCTACAAGGCAGTCGCTCTTTCCCTACTCTCCGCCTCAGCGCTCCTGGGCGCATCCCATCTCCAGGTGGGCCGAAGCGGGGAGTCCAGGTGAGCCCCGCTAGCGGGCCTCCAGGCGTTCCCCGGCTGCGCGTCCACTTTGTTTTTCAGGTGTTGGGACTAGAGAGGCGCCCCTGAAGCCGAGCCTTCTTTAGGACTCTCCGTTTCAGGTACTCGGACCCATCCTCTGCCTCTCGGCGGCGGAGCCTCCGCTCCAGTCTGGGCGAGGTCCTGGGAGGGATGAGCCGATTAATTGACGTCCTGGTGAGCCCGTTAGCTGCCGCACTCCGCACCTAGCACCTCTGTCTTGTCAGAAATCCGAATTCGGGAAGCTTACTCATTTCCAAGACTAGCGAGAGAAAACAGTGATATTAAAATTACTATTGTCTGAAGACTGAAAGAAATTAAAAATGACAGGCCTTTTCAAGTGTTAGCAAGAATCCCTGAAGCATGTACTGTGTGTGCCTTTCAAATTTTAGCACTCAGCGTGATGCTCTTCCATGTTTCAATTAATTGTTCAAACTAAAGTTTGTCTCTTTAAGTGGTTTTAACTGGCAAAGATTTTAAAGCACGGATGTGAGATTGTCTTGTTTGGACGTCTGCTTAACTTTGACATCTAAGAGCTCAGCGTTTACTGATGGTAAGATTTTCCTCTTTAACCAATTAAGAAAATTTGGGTTTAAAATAGCTAAATTGAAAAAAATTCATTATTACTGTTATCTTAAGTGCACTGTAAAGAGCACTATTCACAACTCTGTCAGGAACCTGGTTTAAAAAGTGAATGTCCACCAGGCTTGTTTGGGCCATAAATTGAATTAGCAAAGCAAATCAACGTGCACTCCAGAGCATGACGAATTTTGAAATTCAGTTTTGAAGAAGTTTGAAGGGTGTTTGGGATCAGTGTCTTGTGGTAATAGGAAAATGAACAGGACGACAGCAGAAAAAGCACGGTTGAAGGCAACTTCAAATATGTAGATGAACAGACCTGGTTACCCATGGTATTTCAGATTGGGAATATCTACACAGCAACAATTTTATGGATTAGGATTTACCTGGCCGCTTCAAGTCCCCAAATTCTAGTAAAGTGAGACACCTAGTGGTCACGTAGCAGAATAACGAAATCTTTTTTAAAAAAGAGAGAGAGAAACTGTAGATGTAATGGTGCGCAGTAGGCACCCTACTGCAAACCAAAAGGTTTGGAACCCACTAATGGGAAAAAGATGTAGCCTTCTGCTTCCGTAAAGATTTATAGCCTTCAAAACCCACGGGAAGTTCTCTCAAAGTCAATATGAGTCAGAATGCACTCTATGGTTGGTGTGGATTTTGGTTTAAAAGCTTTTTAAAAGGACTCTTAATCTTCCCAAATATTTCGACCAGGATAAATCATCTCATAAAGATCATGGCATAAAAATCAGTTTTATTTATAACTAGAGTGGCAATTTGTGATTGTTGTTTTTAAAAGATTTAATTGATGTAACTTAAGGATAAATAGATTATTTTCCTCTAACAGTCAACTAAAGACTCCTGGTGTGATGCTATAGACTAAGCACTGGACTGCCAACCATAAGGTCTGCTGTTCAAACCCACCAGTCATTCCTCAGAAAGCCTATACAAAGTTTCTGTGAGCCGGAACTAACTAGACAGCACTTAACAATTCATAGTGTATCTTCCCAGAATCTTTGAATAGAAAAAAATCATGAGTGTTTAGAGAAAACTTTAAAGAACGATCGTTTTCTTGGAGTACTCTGAATACTCTGGAGAAATAAACGATTATAAGTTTCTTATCTAAGTTTTCTTTGACTTAAGATTTTATTTAAATTATTTAAAAGGAGGAATAAGATATTTCTTTAGCATCATTCCTTTCCTCCTATAATTGTTGTTGTTATGTGCCGATGAGTCGGTTCCAACTCATAGCGACCCTGTATAACTCCTATAATTACTGATTCATAGGTTTTCTTTAATTAATTTGAATTTTTTATTTGCAGTTTCAAGAATACCATGGGGTGGGTTTCCCACAAATAGTTGTTGAATTCAAGGCTGCAGCAGGATTTTATGTCTCAAAAGAATTAATGAGAAGCTTCATTTGAAATGGCCCTATATCAATATTGCAGTGATTCATCTTGGATAACTCAGAAAAATGAGTTAGTAGTTTATCAATGAGTCAGAGAGTCTTTATAAAGGTGTAAGTTTGGAAATTCAGGCCTATCAGCAGTCACAAAGGTTAGTTTCTGAGACAGGGTAGTATTAGCTTGGAATTGCTCAGCCTACCTGCAGTTAGAATGGCAGTGCTTTTTATTCAACACATTTTAAAAAATAGCATGTATTGTGTTGTAGTTTTGAAGAGCCACCAAGTTGGTTCTGATGCCTAGCAACTCTGTATTGGGTTTCCAAGGTTGTAAATCTTTACAGGAGCAGAAAGCCTCATCTTTCTTCTGAGGAACGGCTTGAATCACTGACCTTGTGGTTAGCAGTCCAGTGCTTATCATACAGTGCCATGTTGTTGTTAAGTGCCGTCGAGTCGATCCAGACCCATAGCGACCCTGTGTAGTTGAGCTTGAACCGCCAACCTTGCAGTTCAGACGGCTTTGCAGTCTGGCTCATTAACCCACAGCACCACACCCAAAATAGCATATAGCTTTGAAAACAATTTTTTCTTGTGTTTTTGGTGAATGTTTTACACTTCAAACTAGGTTTTCATTTAGTAATTTCTATAGATACCATTAAGTGACATTGGCTACATGTCCCACAAGGTGTCACAGTCTAGTGTTTAGTGTAGAGTCACCATGCTCCCCTTAAGTACTATTCATATTGGTATATTATGAGTTGTTGTTGTTATGGTCATCAAGTTGGTTCCAATGCCTAGCAACCCTGTATAGGGTTTGCAAGGAGCAGTTGGTGCTCTGACCTTGTGGTTCAAACTGGCCTTGCAGTCCAGTGCTTTATCCCACACCAGGAACTCCATATTATTAAGAGTAGGTATACTTTTTTTTTTTTAATGTTTTATTGTGAATTATGTGATCGTTTACATGGAAGAACATTAGCTTCACATTCATCCTACCATGTATCGTTTCATTGCCATGGTTACAGTCCTCTCCATGCATCATCAACCAACCAAAGGGTATACCCTGCAAGCCTGCTCCTCCCCCCCCCCACCAGTCGTCTATTGTACCACAAGGGACCTATCCCCATCTCCTTTCATTAGCCCCACCCAGACAGATTGGATACTACTCAGTGGAGATTCTTCCTCCATGCCCTCTGGATCTATGCTCCCTCTTGAGCTTGTAAACCAGTCACCTCTTGCCTTAGTTGTTGTTGTGATGTGCTGTGGAGTCGGTTCCGACTCATAGCAACCCTGTATAGGGTTTCCGAGGCTGTAAATCTTTACAGGAGCAGAAAGCTTCATCTTTCTCCCGTGGAACAGCTGGTAGTTTCGAACTACTGAGTAGCCCCCCCATTTTGAGTAGCCAATGTCCAAATTGCCCATCCCTTTGTACCCTGCCTATGAGGGGGTGGGAATGATCCTCACTGTAGAGATTTGTTCCCTGTTTTGAGCTACTGCATCCATAG